TACGGTGTGTTAAATTTACCGCAACACCACAAAACCGCATTTATGTTTTTTGATACAAAACAGTGTGAAAGTCGCCTAAAACCATCAGGAACAGGTATAAATGGGTCCTCGTGGTGGTAGAACTACCAAGTTTGTTTTTGTTTCCATAAAATAGAAATATTGATTGGCTTGTCAGGCTGAACATGTGTGATGCGGCAGGTGGACCTGTGATAAACACAGACAGACGGAGGCCAAACAGCTCCTCAGCTCTGGAGGTCGCAGGTATTGAGGGTGGACACCATTGGGGAGGTAGCTGCATGTCCCGGTCTGACATCGTACAAATAGATTTCCTAACAACGATTGTGTCAGAGCTCAGGCACAGGGCCCACACAACACTGGCTCTTCTCAAGGGGTCACCGATGGGCCCCATTGCACTGGGGGTATTAGTACTGCACAGGGGTCAGGACCGATGATTATACATTCATAGAGAGCATTAAATATGGATAGTTTACCCAAACCGAAAGCTCCTCTGCAGGTCAGGGCGCCTGTAGATAAAAACAAACCGTGCGGCTGAATATTGTCCTTGTCCTGGTGTAGGCCATCTACGTACCTTCTGAGGTGTATTATATATACTGGATACTTCATACTGTGTGCTTGCCTACCCTCCACACTCCTCTCCTCTACATACTGCTCACTGTCACACCCTCCACACTCCTCTCCTCTACATACTGCTCACTGTCACACCCTCCACACTCCTCACCTGTACATACTGCTCACTGTCACACCCCCACACTCCTCACCTGTACATACTGCTCACTGTCACACACCCTCCACACTCCTCACCTGTACGTACTGCTCACTGTCACACCCTCCACACTCCTCTCCTCTACATACTGCTCACTGTCACACCCTCCACACTCCTCTCCTCTACATACTGCTCACTGTCACACCCTCCACACTCCTCACCTGTACGTACTGCTCACTGTCATACCCTCCACACTCCTCTCCTCTACATACTGCTCATTGTCATACCCTCCACACTCCTATCCTCTACATACTGCTCACTGTCACACCCTCCACACTCCTCACCTGTACATACTGCTCACTGTCACACACCCTCCACACTCCTCTCCTCTACATACTGCTCACTGTCACACCCTCCACACTCCTCCCCTCTACATACTGCCCATTGTCATACCCTCCACACTCCTCACCTGTACATACTGCCCATTGTCATACCCTCCACACTCCTCTCCGCTACATACTGCTCACTGTCACACCCTCCTCACCTGTACATACTGCTCACTGTCACACCCTCCACACTCCTCTCCTCTACATACTGCTCACTGTCACACCCTCCACACTCCTCACCTGTATGTACTGCTCACTGTCATACCCTCCACACTCCTCACCTGTACATACTGCTCACTGTCACACCCTCCACACTCCTCACCTGTACATACTGCTCACTGTCACACCCCTCCACACTCCTCTCCTCTACATACTGCTCACTGTCACACCCTCCACACTCCTCACCTGTATGTACTGCCCATTGTCATACCCTCCACACTCCTCACCTGTACGTACTGCTCACTGTCACACCCTCCACACTCCTCACCTGTACGTACTGCTCACTGTCATACTCTTCACACTCCTCCCCTCTACATACTGCTCACTGTCACACCCTCCACACTCCTCACCTGTATGTACTGCTCTCACTGTCATACCCTCCACACTCCTCACCTGTACATACTGCTCACTGTCACACCCTCCACACTCCTCACCTGTACATACTGCTCACTGTCACACCCTCCACACTCCCTCTCCTCTACATACTGCTCACTGTCATACCCTCCACACTCCTCTCCTCTACATACTGCTCATTGTCATACCCTCCACACTCCTATCCTCTACATACTGCTCACTGTCACACCCTCCACACTCCTCACCTGTACATACTGCTCACTGTCACACCCTCCACACTCCTCTCCTCTACATACTGCTCACTGTCACACCCTCCACACTCCTCCCCTCTACATACTGCCCATTGTCATACCCTCCACACTCCTCACCTGTACATACTGCCCATTGTCATACCCTCCACACTCCTCTCCGCTACATACTGCTCACTGTCACACCCTCCTCACCTGTACATACTGCTCACTGTCACACCCTCCACACTCCTCTCCTCTACATACTGCTCACTGTCACACCCTCCACACACTCCTCACCTGTATGTACTGCTCACTGTCATACCCTCCACACTCCTCACCTGTACATACTGCTCACTGTCACACCCTCCACACTCCTCACCTGTACATACTGCTCACTGTCACACCCTCCACACTCCTCTCCTCTACATACTGCTCACTGTCACACACACCCTCCACACTCCTCACCTGTATGTACTGCCCATTGTCATACCCTCCACACTCCTCACCTGTACGTACTGCTCACTGTCACACACCCTCCACACTCCTCACCTGTACGTACTGCTCACTGTCATACTCTTCACACTCCTCCCCTCTACATACTGCTCACTGTCACACCCTCCACACTCCTCACCTGTATGTACTGCCCATTGTCACACCCTCCACACTCCTCTCCTCTACATACTGCTACATACTGCTCACTGTCACACCCTCCACACTCCTCTTCTCTACATACTGCTCACTGTCACACCCTCCACTGTCTCTTTGACCAAAATATAATTCCTTACTGTTCAATCTTCAAAGTACTGATGCCTAAAGCTGTTTAAGGGGCCCCAACATTTCTGATGGCTGCCCTTCCAGGGCACTATGGTAGTTAGGGGCCCATTCACATGAGCAGCAGCAGTCTCCTCTGCCCTCTGAAAAGCAGTGGATCAGTTTTCAGAGGGCGGCAGAGCAGTAGTGGCCGCTTCAAGGCATTCAAGAGCTGAATATTGTGCTGCAGCCATACGTTTGGTTTGTGACGCAGTCCTATTGACCACAATGGGAGAGTTTGGTGCCGCATTTCATACTCTGCAAACCAAGATTTCCTGCAGCCGTAAAGCATCATGCCCATGACGTGTTTCATTCAGGGACTCTCACTGAAGTCTATGAGGCCAAAAGGACACGCAATTCAAAAACTGCACTGAAAACACAACGCGGGTGCATTTTTGCCACGATTTCAATGGGGAGGTGCGTTTTTGGTGCTATTTTTTTTTCCCCCTACCGCAAACAAAAATGAAGCAAGCAGGATTTTTTTATAAAAACGCAGCGAACCCACAACAGATCGGTGTGACGACTTCCATCAGAATAAACGGTCACTCGTTTTCTGCTTCTTTTAACGCAAAAGCAGAAGAAAGATGGATCCGTGTGAAAGCAGCCAAATTCTGATCGAATTACAATCACATTTGCCAACAAAACATCCCGGAGTCGACGATCGACGGCAAAACAAACCGATGATTTCCTGCCTCGGATCAACTCACTTTGATGGAATCCAATCAGAACGGAGTCTAAATCGATCAAGTCACAGATCGACTTCATAAAAAAACATATAAAAAGTGTGTATGGTCACCATTGGTGCCAAAATGACCGTGACTGTCGTGATTAAAATCGCTTAGCCAAAGCCGCCATTTAATTAACACATTGCACTTGGCGCCCCCCTCCCCCACTGCTGTCCTTTCCATTCAGACTTTCCTGGAGACAGCCAGACAGCTGGCATTTTCTGTCTGAGGTCTTGCTGACACTTGTAGTTCTACAGTACCAAAGTGCTCCAGATAGCAAACAATGCAGCCAGGATGTGTGATCAGTACTGGGCTGTCACCCCCCCCCATACACCTCAATGATCAGTACTGGGCTGTCACCCCCCCATACACACCTCAATGATCAGTACTGGGCTGTCACCCCCTCCATACACCTCAATGATCAGTACTGGGCTGTCACCCCCTCCATACACCTCAATGATCAGTACTGGGCTGTCACCCCCTCCATACACCTCAATGATCAGTACTGGGCTGTCACCCCCCTCCATACACCTCAATGATCAATACTGGGCTGTCACCCCCCCATACACCTCAATGATCAGTACTGGGCTGTCACCCCCCCATACACCTCAATGATCAGTACTGGGGCTGTCACCCCCCCATACACATCGGCTGTCACCCCCCCATACACCTCAATGATCAGTACTGGGCTGTCACCCCCCCCCCATACACCTCAATGATCAGTACTGGGCTGTCACCCCCCCATACACCTCAATGATCAGTACTGGGCTGTCACCCCCCCCCCCATACACCTCAATGATCAGTACTGGGCTGTCACCCCCCCCCCCCCCCATACACATCAATGATCAGTACTGGGCTGTCACCCCCCCCCCATACACATCGGCTGTCACCCCCCCATACACCTCAATGATCAGTACTGGGCTGTCACCCCCCCATACACCTCAATGATCAGCACATAAAGATGGCATCACTTCCTGACACCCTGAACCCGGGAGGAAGGGCAGGCGATGGAGGGGCACGGAGGGGGGGGGGGGCGTCTTACCTGCACTGTGCAGCCGAGTCTCAGGCGGGGAGAGGTGATGTATTCGGTGCGATGAGCCGCCCTCCCCTCTACACTGCTCAGTCTGACCCGGCAGCCGGACTGTGAACCATGCAGCTACAGCACAGGGGGAGGAGGAAAGAGGCGGGGATAGAGCTACAGAGAGGAAAGGGGCGGGGATAGAGCTACAGAGGGAGGAGGAAGGGGGCGGGGATAGAGCACCGCACGCCTATTTGCAAGGTAATGGTGATTTGCCACACATAATAAAGTGTAATTGCCATGTGCCACCACTAAGTGCGCTGCTGAGAGCTAGTAACCATAGTAACCAATGATTCTTTCCTCCCCCCATACTCTATGATTGTTTATTGATGGGGTATATATATATATATATACACACACACACACCCATACACTATATTACAAAAAGTATTGGTCCCCGCCCTCCAAATCATGTGATTCGGTGTGTTCCAATCACCTCCATGGACACAGGTGTATAAAAATCATCCCCTAGGCATGCAGACTGCTTCTACAAACATTGGTGAAAGAATGGGTCGCTCTCAGGAGCTCAGTGACTCCAAGCGTGGTCCCGTGATAGGTGGTCACCTGGGCAATAAGTCCATCCGTGACATTTCCTGGCTACTAAATATTCCAGACTCATCTGTTAGTGGGATTATAACAAAGTGGAAGCAACTGGGAACACCAGCAACTCAGCCACCAAGTGTAGGCCACGTCACATGACAGAGCGGGGTCAGTGCATGCTGAAGTGCACAGTGCGCAGAAGTCACCAACTGTCTGCAGAGCCAATAGCTAAAGACCTCCAAACTTGGTGTGGCCTTCAGATGAGCCCAACAACAGTGCGTAGAGAGCTTCATGGAATGGGTTTCCATGGCCGAGCAGCTGCATCCAAGCCTTACATCGCCAAGTACAATGCAAAGTGTCGGGATGCCGTGGTGTAAAGCACACCGCCACTGGACTCTAGAGCAGTGGAGACATGTTCTCTGGAGTGACCAATCACATTTCTCTGGCAATCCGATGGAGTGTTTTGCCATGAGAACGGTACTTGCCTGACTGCATTGTGCCAAGTGTAAAGTTTGGTGGAGGGGGGATTATGGTGTGCGGGGGGTTGTTTTTCAGGGGTTGGGCTTGGCCCCCTAGTTCCAGTGAAAGGAACTCTTAAGGTGACATTTTGGACAATTTCATGCACCCAACTTTGTGGGAACAGTTTGGGGATGGCCCCTTCCTGTTCCAACATGACCACACACCAGTGCACAAAGCAAGGTCCATAAAGACATGGAGGAGTCAGTTTGGGGTGGAGGAACTTGACATGGCCTGCACAGAGTTCTGACCTCAAACCCATAGAACACCTTTGGGATGAATTAGAGCAGAGACAGCGAGCCAGGCCTCCTCCCCCGACATCAGTGCCTGACTTGACAAATGTGCTTCTGGAAGAATGGACCAACCTTCCCATAGACACCCTCCTAAACCTTGTGGACGGCCTTCCCAGAAGAGTTGAAGCTGTTATATCGGGGATAACTGTAAAGGGCGGGGCCAACTCAATATTGAACCCTACGGACCAAGACTGGGGGAGCCAGCCATAAAGTTCATGTGTGTGGAAAGGCAGGCCGACCAATACTTTCAGTAATATAGTATATACATTATATAATATATAATGTACACCATCAGCATATATATATTGATGGTGTACATTGGGGGGTCAGCAACCAGTAGATTCCGGCCTGGTAACTGGTAGGGTTGGGCTGAATGTTCGAGTCAAACCTAAGTTAAAATTGAACATAGACATTCGTGTGTTCACTGAACACAAGAACGATATGGGGCGTTCGGCAGGCTATTCGCCCGCAGCTCTCCACACAATGCACTGTGCCCTGACACTGCATTCTAATTGGTCAAAGCATTGCTCCCGACCACAGGTAGGTAGGCTAAAAAGTAGGAGGTCTTGTGAGGAGCGAAGAGTACGGGTTGGGTGGTATTTGGGTATCAGGTCGGTGATGTAGTTTGGGGCAGCATTATGAATGGCGTTGTACGTCAATGTTAGTAGTTTGAATTTGATGCGTTGGGCAATCGGGAGCCAGTGGAGGGAATGACAGAGGGGGGTGGCAGAAGCGGGGCGGTTGGTAAGGTGGATGAGTCTGGCCGCTGAGTTCAGGATAGACTGAAGCGGGGATAGTCTGTGATGAGGTAGGCCGGTGAGAAGGGAGTTGCAGTAGTTCAGACGTGAGATAATAAGGGAGTGAACGAGTTGTTTAGTGGTGTCTGGGGTTAGGAACGAACGTATTTTGGAGATGTTGCGGAGGTGGAGCCTGCATGAGTTTGCTAATGATTGGACATGCGGTAGGAAGGACAGGTTTGAGTCTAGAGTGACATCTAGGACTTTGGCTTGCGGGGTGGGACTGATGGTGGCGTTATTGGTCGTGATGGAGAGGGGGGGGGAATTCAGGAGCTCGGTTTTGGAAGGGTTCAATTTGAGGAAATGGAGCGACATCCAGTCTGATATGTCATTCAGTAGGTGGGTAATACGGGTGGAGACTGAAGGGGTGAGTTGAGGGATGGAGAGGTAAATTTGCGCGTCATTGGCGTAGAGGTGAGTGTATCAGTTTGCCGAGGGAGGAGGTGTAGATGGAGAAGAGAAGGGGCCCGAGGACAGAGCCTTAGGGGGACCCCAACAGAGAGGGGGAGGTGGTAGCATTATAGGTAATGCTGAAGAAGCGTTGGGATAGATAGGAGGAGAGCCAGGAGAGAGCGGAGTCTCTGATGCCAAGAGAGTGTAGTTTATTAAGGAGGAGGGGGTGGTCAACTGTGTCGAAGGCCGCGGAGAGGTCGAGGAGTAGGAGGACTGAGTAGTGGCCATTAGCTTTGGCGGTTAGCAGGTCATTAGTGATTTTGAGTAGGGCGGTTTCGGTGGAGTGTAGGGTATGGAAGCCAGACTGTCGGGGATCGAGGAGGTTGCCTCCTCACCACCTGATTGAAACCCACAGTTGCCATGCAAAGCATGTGATTGCGTCACGGTAGTATGGCAATTAGTGGTTTAAATCAGGTATGAGGAGGTGCCTGGAGATATTTGACTTCCCATGTTGTCCAGGTAGATCTCCTCTTTACCCCGGGTTCACACCTAAGCGTTTGTTGCAGTGTTTTGCAGAAATGCAGTACAGTCTACTTAACATGAGTTCCTATGGGACAGGTTCACAGCTCTGCGTTTCACCCAGTGTGTTTTTTTGTAAAGGGTCAGGGACTTTTTTTAACGCAAAAACTTGCATTTTTGGTTCTATAGGCTTCAATGGAAATGCTGCAGAAAAGCATGTAGTGCGTTCTTTATGCGTTTTTTTGATCCGTTTTTAATATGCAACAAGAAAAATTAAAATAATGAAAAAAAAAACTCAGCAAAATGCATAAAAAACGCAACAAACAACGCAGGTGCAAAAACACAAAATGCAATGCAGAAGCGGCTCAAACGCAATCTCCATAGGTGTGAATCTAACCTTAAGTCCTCACGCACACGGGACGTTTTTACAGCGGCTGTTTTTGGCTTTTTTTCTACAGCCAGTAAACCCCCCACCATGTTATCCTATGTGTCCATACACACATAGACTGGAATCAATGTTTTTTGGCTGGAAAAAAACCCCCAGGGTTTCTAGAGGAGCTTTGTAGCTGTAAAACCGCTCTAATGCTGGAAAACGCAGCAAACTGGCGTTTTTGGACTTTTTTTTTGAGCAAAAAAAAATTTTTTTTGGGTAAACCAAAACCGCTAAAAAACACAAACGCGAAAAAAACGCTAATGCAAAAATGCTAAAGAACCCTGTAACACACATTTTTAACGTGCCTTTAGGCAGCTAACATTACCAGCGTTATCAAAACGCCCGTGTGCATGGAGCCTTAGGATGCCTATACTTGGTATACATTATTATATATACAGTATATTGATGGTATGAATTGCAGTATATTCTATATGGCCGACACCTGCTCTGATTGCACACACCGGAAGCCTGTCAGCAAGTGTTGATTGGCAGTGTCCAATCACAGCCCAGAGCCCTGTGATGACAATCAACACAGAGCTCTGTACACAGGGATTGACCTGTCAGTTTCTCAGGGATGAAAAACTAAAGCAAGCCATACATGAGTCGAATTTCATACGATTTTGCGATCGAAAATCGTAAACATCGTTCGTTCTATAATCCGATGGTCTTTTTTCGTTTATATCACAAAAAATAAAAAACCCAGTGGTGATCAAATACCACCAAAAAAAGCTCTATTAAATTTTTATTATGTTTTCTTCATTCTCGGGATATCTTTGTACTTTCTTGGAAAAACAGTAAAAACCATTGGAAATTAAATGAAAGCTCTATTTGAGTGAAAAAAAACAACATAAATTTTGTTTTGGTACAGTGTTGCATGACTGCTCAATTACCAGTTAAAGCAGCACGGCGCTGAATAGCAAAAAAAATGACCTGGCCGTGAAGGGAGTAAAATCTTCGGAGCTGACGTGGTTAAAAGATTTCCTTAATACATAGGTAGGTGAATTGATGGCTTTTCCATATCTGCCTAGAGCTCGGCTTAAAATGATTATTTTTTTTTCAAAGACAGGTAGCAGAATACATTTTGGCCAAAATTTATAAAGAATTTTGATTCTTCTATGTTTTATAGCAGAAAGTAAAAAAATATGGTGGTTTTTTTTCATAATTTTTCGTCTTTTTCGTTTATATTACAAAAAATTAAAAAAACAGTGGTGGTCAAAATACCACCAAAGAAAGCTCTATATAATTTTTATTATGTTTTCTTCATCCTATATATTCTCGGGATATTTTTGTACTTTCTTGGAAAAACAGTAAAAACCACTGGAAATTAAAAGAAAGCTCTATTTGCGTGATAAAAAAAACTATATACATTTTGTTTTGGCACAGTGTTGCATGACTGCGCAATTACCAGTTAAAGTAGCACGTTGCCGAATAGCAAAAAAATGGCCTGGACCTGAAGAGGGGAAAATCTTCCGTAGCTGACTCGGTTAAAAGAGTTCCTTAACCTCCCTGGCGGTATTCCCGAGTGTAGCTCGGGGTAAAATGTCAGTGCCAAAAAGCGGTAACCCCGAGCTACACTCGGGCTTACCATGCGGCGCTGCATAGGGATTCCCTGCAGAGATTACCTTGTCCTGCGCTCCCGCGTTGTGTCCCCTGCAGCGTCCCCGGCCATCCGGCTTCTGTGTTCCGGTCCCCCTGACGCCGGGACATACGGGCGCCGCCGCCGCCGGGAAATTTGAAAGTTTTAAAAAATGTCATTTTTTTTTTCCAAACAAATTTTACATAGTAAAACATTGCTATTTCACATACATTTTGTCCCGAGTGCTTTGTCCGGCGCCCTGCCTGCATTTTGTCTGTTCTTTCTGCCTGGAAACTGAGAAATGTCCATGGCGTCCAAAAAGCGTCCCTTTATGTCAAAAGCGGTTTTAGACCGGCTAGAGAACAGCGATAGTAAATCAGAACCACTTGCAGAACTGAGTGATAATGATTCGTGGGGGAAATTCATCATCAGACACTGAAAACGATTTTGCGACTTTGCTCAGTGATGTGCGAACTTGGCGCTATATTTCAAATTTCAGTGTTTTTTGGTTTCAATATATTATTGAATTAAATTTATTATTTATTATATTATTATTATTTATGATTATTTATTAAATTATAATTTATGATTTCGTGTTTCAAGTTTTATCCTACCCGGGATGTTTACTAGACTCTTGTTCTGACAGATTTCAGTGAGTTATTCCTAAAAATTACAGCCTACAAAAAAAAAAACGACATATTTCCATGCAAAATAATGGTACCGCTTTCAACACCAAAAATCTGAAATAATCAGACCGCCGAGGAGGTAAATACATAGGTAGGTGAGTTGATGGCCTTCCATATCTGCCTAGAGCTCGGCTTAAAATGATTATTTTTTTATCAAAGACAGGTAGCAGAATACATTTTGGCCAAAATTTATAAAGAATTTTGATTCTTCTATGTTTTATAGCAGAAAGTAAAAATATGGTGTTTTTTTTTTCATAATTTTAGTCTTTTTCGTTTATATTACAAAAAATTAAAAAAAACAGTGGTGGTCAAATACCACCAAAAGAAAGCTCTATATAACTTTTATTATGTTTTCTTCATCCTATATATTCTCAGGATATTTTTGTACTTTCTTAGAAAAACAGTAAAA